ACATATATATCTGAGCACATATATGGGGGGGTGCAAAGGCAGGTTTACAGTTGTTCATATGGAAAGACGTGCAGGTTATGATGATAATAGCTTTATTAACTCAAAAGAATGTCACATGCAACTGTAAACCTACTTTTGCCTACCTCTGTACACACACACACACACTCTCTCCCCCCTCCCTTACTCTTAACCCCAATTCATATTCACATTCACTCTTCATTTCTCTTACCATGGGCAGGTCTTTTAGGATCTGTATTCCATCTCCTGGACCCATGTGTGCTATGTGGTTAAAATTAGTTGGGTTAGAAATTAATTTATTTCTCATTTCAGGATCTCGTAGCATCTCTCTGTAAGAGAAAACACCTGTTTAGACACTTCTTCTATGATCAATCTAGATAACTCTAGAAACAAATTACGTATACATTATTTTTTCATAAAAATACTGTGAAATCATGTTCATATGGCTAGGATTAAAATAATATAAATAATCAATTAAAAACGTACTTAGATTTGTTTTACCTTTTAAATAAAAGATCTTACAATTTTTGGTGAGAAAAGAGAGCATTTTAGTACAGAGACATCGAAGAAGCTCTATTCTATTTCACAGATAATTCTGAGCATTTCTGTATGTCTCAAAATAATGGATAACACTTAGAAATATTTTTACCTGTAATTGGAATACTATAAGCCCATTTCTGTTTGCTCATAAAGAGAATAGTGAATCTAAAGTTCTTAAGTATATAAGGTTTACTATTGTGCAATGAATGGTTCTATGTTTACATTAAAACAAGGTTCACATTCTAAAACTTCTAACTACTCTACATACATAGAGAAACGAATCAAAATATGGTATTTTAGTCTGATTCACACAACTTGGAGAGCGTTGATTAAAGTGACTCTGACACGTGCAGTCATTCTGGCAGTTTTTAAACCACAGATGAATGACAGATTTTCAGAGATCAAATTTTCCTTCCAAAACACATATAATATTTTCACCAAACAGCCCTTCCCATGCTACCAGCATGTGTGGATGATGCGGAGAATGGAAGCAGCTACCTCCTCTGTTGCATCCTTTCCTCTTCCGGGACCCTGAAGGAGTAACGCCGCTTGTTGTTAATATTTCTAACCATTTGTTTTCGACTGTTATCTGTGGTTTCAGGAACTACCAGTTCATCCCCTTCTGTTTAAAAAATACAGAGAACAGTGATGTTCTTTAAAGTGCTAGAATGTTTTTTACCCATTCATCTCTAAGATAGTATAAACTTAATTGTGCAATCACAGTACATGCAATTCTGATTTTTAAAAGTTGTGTTAATGATCATCTATACTAATAAAAGGGTAATATGCTAATTAGACCAGACATCTTCCAGACAAAGCCATGGTGGCAGGGGCCGAGGCAGAGGCAGTTAGGGGCGATCAGGCCGGCAGGGGAGGGCAGTCAGGGGTGATCAGGCAGGCAGGCAGAGGGGTTAGGGGCGATCAGGCAGGCAGGCAGGTAAGCAGTTAGGAGCCAGCAGTCCCAGATTGCGAGAGGGATGTCTGACTGCCAGTTTAGACCCAATCCCGCGGACATCCCCTGACGGGTCCCAGATTGAAGAGGGTGCAGGCTGGGCTGAGGGACCCTGCCCCATGCACAAATTTTGTGCACCAGGCCTCTAGTAGTAAAATAAGCAATAATTTTCAACAGTACATAAGCAGATAGATGCTGAAATTAAACATAACTTACAAAGGGTAATTTCACTTTTATTTGATTATAAACATAAAATAGCACAACTTTACTAGAAAGAAAGAAAACTGTAGTTGCCTCAGCACTCGGTCACTCTGGCCACCCTCCCGCAATGACTACACTATCTTCTCTCCCCCTCCAGGTGTTGGTCTCACGGGCTCAGGGTGTTACGCTATTGCTAACCTGCATAGCAATCAGGCATCAATGGTAAATTTTTCATGTAAATGATAAGTACAATTACTTTTACATATTAAAACATTTCCTTCGATGATGCCACCTGCGAGGTGTAGGGTCAGGAAAAGGAAGCGTTGTCCTACCAGCTGCCTTTACTGCAGGCAAGAATCTGTCACCTTCCTACTCTTCTCATCTGGGGGCAGATGATACTGATTCATATACACCAAGTGAGCCATGCCCATCTCATTCTATTTCAATTTTAAATACCCAGAAGTAAACAAAACTGTCAGCATGGACCCCCAAAACCTGCTGGGGTATGTGAACATACTGTCAAGTAGACAACTGTACCCACAACAAGGCAGATGCCATTCTCTAAGCAAGATCAGGGAAAAGAGAAAAGGTTCTAAGCCTGATACTCGAATGGCAGAAGAGGTGTTCCCACAGCCCCAGACAGGAACTCCGGATGAACTGTCACAATTTTGGGGCTACAAGCCTTGGTTAGGTTCTACAGTATGAAACGTACAGAGAACATATTCAGTCACCCTTTCTCTACTTACCTTGGTGTTCCACAGAAAAACAACAAGTTCCGTCAGAAACAATACCCTGCCTGCACAGCTACGCAAGCTAAACAGAATGGCTTTGTCCAGCAGTTGATCTCAGTCTACTGAGAGAGTATGACAGTGGCCAAGATCACAGACTCCGGAGAAGACACAACTGAGCTGGAATCTGGGCTCTGCCACTTCTTATCCCCAGGCAGTCAGCTGAGGGAGAACATCCTATTGAGGCTATCCTGTTAACGTGCATTTTCTTACCTGCCATCTTATTTTTGAAATAAATTAATCTAATCGTCTCCAAGCCTAAAAGATTTAATGATCCTTCACTGTTTAAGGGTCGAACCTAAAATAATAAAAAATATAATTAGTATTTCAACAAAAGCTTAAAAAATTAAACCATATAACTTTTGGCCTATTTATAAACCACACACATTTATCTTATCCTTCCTCTCCAAAATATAGCCCTCTCAGAAAATCAAGAAAAAAATGAACATTAATTCTGACTGGGAAGGTATAAAATTACCTAATTTGAACAAAGTTATAATGATAACATTTTAAAGGAAGACTATTCCGGACCAAAAAAAAAAAAAAAAAAAGTAGAAATATATTTAAACCTTAAATTTGACTTCTTTAAAGCCATTAGTGACCAAATTATTATACTAAGGTATTAACACAGACACTTTATGACTCTTGTTTGAACTAAATGGACAAACAGCATAGTTATCTGGGGACATGCAAATTAATACATCAATGAAATATCACTTTATAACCATTTGCAAGGGCTATAAAACCTATGAATTCTGAGCATGGTCAGTGTCAGAGAGGATGTGGGTCAGCAAAAACTCTTACACACTGCTGGTGGGAGTGCCAACGGGTATAATTACTTTGGAAAATGATCTGACACGAGCCTGTAACACCAAACACTTGCATTTTCCATGCACCATCAATTGCGTGCCCAGGCACAGGACTTAAAGTCCTGCACGCACGCATGCACCAGAAGATGTGTGCACAACAATGCTCATAACAGCAAAGAGCTGGGCAATAAGTCAAGTGCGCCAACCAGAGAATGGGTAAGTTATGATCTATTCACCCAACAATATTTTATATAGAGAAAGCAAAGACTATATGGAACAACATGGTGGTTGGTGCATGGAACAACATCGATGAATCTTAGAAACACAGTAAATCCATGAAGAACGCAAGGTGGAAAGTGATATACAACAACACTGAACAATATATTGTTTAGAAATATTTAAATATGCAAAAAATGCAAAAAATTCTGGCTTTTGTGATGAGCAAGGAAATGATAAGCAGCATTCGGGGAGTGATTGCCCTGGAGGGAGTGTGCGATAAGAGAGAATACACCGGCAAATGCAGTGACAGAGGTCATCTTCTGGCTCTTAAGTTAGGAGGTGGTCAGTTTAGTGAGGCTCTTCCAGGTCACACATTCTTTCATATATATCGTAATGTTTACATAACAACAACAAAAGGGATACTAACTGTAACCAACCCAAATGTACAAACTGGAGGACTGTGTTCAGCAGCTCTATCTAGTGTGGCGGTATCTGCAGGAGCTTCTTCCCTGATGATGTGGCTTAAAATCGAGGAAGATTTTGAAATATGGCTCCTTTCTTCTCCCTGTTCTTCTAACCCTCGCCCCTAACGAGCGACACCTGCTACTTATTCTACGTGAAACGACTACTCTTGCCAAATAACCATTCTATACTAAAATTCTAAAAATTTCTCTTTACATTATCACAGGGAAATGTTAAAGAAAAATACTGTTTTACTGGGAACATGTGAAAGCTTTATGTTTTAATTATGAGATGATTAAACACAGTTTTGGTTCTAATTCTAATCATTCTTCTGGCCTGTAAATCTGTCCTCACAGGATTTCAAATTGAACACCATTATGTGCAAAACATCATAATTAACAATAATGCACCCCCTCAGAGCTCCTCAAACTAGAGGGGAAGTTAACGCTGACATCTTAGGTCGTAGGACACACTCTAGCTGTTCATGATAATCATACTTCATACAGAAAAACTAAAGTAATAAGAATAGTATGGAATTGAGCTACTTATAAGATTAGCGAGATTGATTTTTGTTTTTCATTCTTAGCTAAACAGTCATGTTAGTGGTTACGACACACATTAGTTCGCTCAGCCCGTATTTTAATGTTAAGTTACCTTTTTGAGGGGGAGCGTCTGAATCCACTCCATGGAGTTCACATCGAAGACGTCCACCGCGTTTTCACTGTACACGGACAGGTAGGGGGCATTGTAGCCTGGGAGGAGGGGAGAGAGCAGCCTGCTGGTTACCTTTAACTATTCATTAAAGCCAGGTATTCCATTTCTTACTCCACATAAGTCAAACTCTGAATCATCTGACTAGGCTACAAAACAGCATTCATTCTAAACATGATGCCATAGATATGAGTATGTATTTCACAAGAAACAAAACGTGAAGTACAGTGATGGTCTCCGTTTGTGGATTAGAAGTACTTTTCTTTATCTAGATTTCCTGGTGTTTCTGCAATAAACATCCTTCTGCTGAACGCTAAAGGCGCCCGTGCTCCCCGGCCCTCCTGTCCTGTTGTGGGGGAGGCGCTTTCCTCCTGCTGCCCGCATCCTCCCGGGTCTACATCCCAGCCTGTGGCCTCCTTAGGGTCTTACTCCCACTCCTGTATTTACCATAGAGCCACCTTTTCCTAGCTCCCTAGTGGCTACTTCCCTTCGGCATTTAAACATGCTCAAGTACCTTCCACTAAAAACAAAAGGTTTTGGGTTGGATACTCCTACTTATTGTATCACAGGCAATGAAATGCATATAATGAGGATTCCAAAACGTATTAATGTCATAATATTTCCTCAAAGAGTGAAATCAACAATTTTTAATATATACCTATCTAAATAAAAATGTAAAACTGAGTATCACTTCTTATAGATGCTACACTATTCTTTACGTAACTGATTAACACACTTAGTAACACAACTTCTCCAGAGGAAGTCTTATCAGCTACTAATAATCACACTGTATTTTTGAGGACCACAAAGATACAATTTAGGTTTTTTCAAAATACAATAACATGGGTTAAAAAATCCATCTAAGTACAATATTCCATAGAAAAATTAGCTTTAATTATTGGCATGTTAATGTTGATACTGTTGTCCTAGGCTTAACTACACATGGTTACTTTACATAAATAACATAATACTTAGGAAAAACCTTACAGATGGCTTAAAAATGACCAGTTATTAACAATAAATACATTTAGGAGATGGAGTAGAGGGAAAAGAAAGAGAAAGAGAAGACAGCCGAAAGGAAGAGACTCACAGCAAGAGGAAGGGTTAGCTGGCCACGTCAGCTCCTGCTGCCTGGACCTGCGGCCCTGGCAGTCGGTGTAGACCCCGATGCTGCTAAAACACAGCAGGTATTCTTTACTGGAGATCTCCACGGCGCAGATGGCGTCCATGGGCTGATGTGTGACAAAGGCCAGCGTGTGGTCACTTGAATGGAGCATACTGCACGAAGTTCCTTCTCCATTCAAGGGGTATCTCTGAAATCCCGACTGGAATCCCACACAGAGGTGTTCACTGAAGACTGCCATCCACTGGACGTTATACGGGACTTGGATTTCCTTAAATTTTCTGTGGCGGGTCTTGCTCTGAAATAGTTCGTAACAGAGGACCTGCCTTTTCATCGCCACACACAGGCAGGTGAGAGTGCCGTGACGCAGCTTCCCAGAAGTGATGGTTTGACACCCTTTAGTTTCCGCCAGCTTATAAAACTCAGTCTCTCGTCCGTCCAAAGCTGACATAGGAAAAAGTCGTACGTGACGGTTTCGTCCTGAGATCACAGCAACGAGCTGATCATTTGGAATGAGTTCAATCTGATGAATCTTCTTATTGTCACCAACTCGAATAATTTCTATGCAAAGAAATAATAATAAGTCAGATACAAAATAATGTCGTTTATTTATTAATCATATCCCAATTATACTCAAAAGGATATATGTCAACCTATAATAAAGACAGATACACACATAGAAAAGAATAACAGCTCAGAAATCACAGAGGATGAGGAAGATAATTGCACCCATTACAAGAAATTAACTCACTACAGTAAAGTATTAAATTTAGCACTGAGATCTCTCCCAGCCAAGGCATAAAGCTGCTATGTGATAAGGCATGCCAGATCGTCAAAAACAGTAACAACAATAAACCTCTTTACTGGCACTAAGTTTCAGGGAACTTTTTACTATGGGGTTTGTTGTTTCTTTTGTTTGTTTGTTTTTTTGTTTTTTTAAGTAACTCATATTTCACTAAAAGTATTTGTATGGGTAACAAATTAATGAAGTTTAAGTGCATTGTTTTCCCATGAACTAACTTGATATAAATACAGAACTTAGAGCTCTGTATTCAAGAATGCTGAATTAAATTGGTTTCTTTTTATTTCACCCAGTATTTAATTTATCTTTAGAAAAAGATCTTTGTAATAAACTATGGGGAAAAACTCCCAACAACAAGCACGTTTCAATGAGCTACTACCTCTTCGAGTGCTATTGGGACCATGGAAAAAGCAAGTGCGTTTTCTTTCAGCACCTTCTTTAGAAGTGCAACCTGAGCCCTATAGCAGAACTTAGTACCACAAGAACAAGGATCCATACGTGGATGTTTTAGAACTCAGGATGATTATAGAAGTTAAAAAATTATCTTTTGACTTATAAACATATCAAATGAGGTGTGGAAAATTTCAATTATAGAAAAAGTAAGCAAATCCTGCTGTTTATAGAATTTAGAAACTAGAGTTTAGAATTTTCTAGCAACATACAGGTTAAAGTTACCCCACAATAATTTTTTTCTTACCATCTTTGGTGACATGCACAACAAATAAACCTTCTTCATTTCCCAAAGCTATCCTTTCATGATCTATGCAAGATATAAATAAATATGAAACATTTTTATTAGGTAAAAACTATGTAAAATAATAGAAAATAGATAACAAAGAAATTTTATATAAAACCCTGAAATAAACAATATAAAAATAGCAATAACCATTTTTACTATTAAATTTCCATTCATTTCTTTTTTTATATATATTTTTTATTGAATTTTTACAGAGAGGAAAGGAGAGGGATAGAGAGCTAGAAACATCAATGAGAGAGAAACATCAATCAACTGCCTCCTGCACGCTCCCTACTGGGGATGTGCCCGCAACCAAGGTACATGCCCTTGACCAGAATCGAACCTGGGACCCTTGAGTCCACAGGCCGACGCTCTATCCACCGAGCCAAACCGGCTAGGGTTCATTTCTTTTTTAATAGAATCATCATCAGAAAATTATCTATATCAATATTTACAAAAAGAAGTAAATGTTTATTCAATAAAAGGTGAAAGGCATTTGAACCCTACTCATTAAACTTTTTATTATTTACTAGGAAGTAACAGAAGAGTTAGATGTGTACATAAGAATATGGTGGTAATTTAAACCTCCAGACACAAAGGCTGCCATTGTTTAGGGCATCTGATGTACAAGGGCATTCTGTTCCGCCCTGCATCTCAGTTAAACTTCCCAATAACTTCTGCAAGGTAACTGGCATCTACATTTTACACGGAAGGTTATGCTTTAAGAAACGAAACAACTGTTCTCAACCGCACATGCAGAGGATAGATATGTTCGAAGTTAAACTTTAGCACCGCTGCTTTTGTCAGAAGAAAACATATTTGAAAGTGGACTTATTCTGGTTTACTGAGAAACAAAGCTTAAAATGGTCTCATTCATCCAATAAACACTGTGCACCTGTGACTTAACACATACCAGGTTGGACACTGGAATTCCTAGATGGAAGCCAGTCCCCACTGACCAGGTAAGTGAGGAAACAATTGTGATCACATGACCGATGCTATCAATGCGTACCTATGATTGCAGCGGCCTGGGTAGTTTTAATGAGGGGTAGCGTGCTGTCATAAGCCTCTTTGGGAACATAGACGGAGCGGTCTCTGAATTTGTTTTTCTTCAAAATTTTCTGTAATTCACTCAGCACTCCCACCCACTTGCTCTTCTCATTCTCACTATCTGCCAGCATCAGGATTGAGCATTTGTTATTAGGTGCCGAGAGCTGGGACATTGTGACCTAGAAAAATTGAAACAAAATTCATGATGTTAGAAAACAGACACCCTTTAGGTCAGTTTTATGCTTAGATTAGTTTGCTTAGCACTAGCCAGCGGCCGCCCACCTTTCAGACCTCATGGACCACCAGTGTCCACGAACCACCGGTTGGCGACCGCTGCCCTAGCCAACAAAATGAGCGTCCCTTAAGTGATACCTTTAGCAGCGGTCAGCTATTCCTAATCAGAAGAATAATCAGTTTCAGCATTAGAATGCGTGGTAAACAAAGGTAGCAGATACCATTCTAAATGTTAGTATCATTTTTTATTTTCTTTGTATACAGTGCCAGAATACTATCACTAGAAAATGCAACTGACATTTTTGAGTAATTACTGATCTCTGGGCATTGATCAAAGTACTTTACAAGTATTCACTCACATAACCCTCTCAACATCTTCATAAGGTAGTTATTGTTATTAGTCCTGACCTTATATATAAAACACTGTGATGCAGAGAAATTAATTTCCCCAAGGGCACACAACAAAAGTGGGGTCCCTGTCCATGCTCGTAAGCACTATATTCTACTGATTTTCAACTTTTTTTAAAAGTCAGAAATGCTCAGAAATACTTACATTCTGTTATTCCATAACAATAACTCACATTATCTTAAAGAAGATAGATCCTTTAGTTACTATTTAAATGAAGCTTATCATTATGAAAACAGCATTTATAACTGGGCAGATTTAGATTACATATATATGGACCGTTTATAAAAAGTAATTTAAACAGCATGACAATAAAATCCACTATGTATCAATCACAGAAAAGTGGGCTTCTGTAGGCTCCACAGGAGGCTGGACATAGCAGAGTTGTTGTTTTAGGAACTGAGACAAAGTACTGTATAGTGTTTGTCTGACCTTCCTTAGATACAAGACTCATCGACAAATACTAAGCATACAGGCGTAAGGTTGGGCCAGTATTCCACCCCCCCCCTTTTTTTTTACCTCTTTTATCTTAATTCACCAATTCTAGATTGCACTGTGGACAGCTTCCAAAGATGGGTACCAACAATCTTCCCATGGAATTCCATTCTTCTTATCAAAAAATGGAATCTAGTCCTAGCTGGTTTGGCTCAGTGGATAGAGCGTCAGCCTGCAGACTGAAGGGTCCCAGGTTCGATTCCAGTCAGGGGCACATGCCTGGGGCTGCAGGCTCGATCCCCAGTAGGGGGCGTGCAAGAGGCAGTCAATCAATGATTCTCTCTCATCATTGATGTTTCTATCTCTCTCTCCCTCTCCCTTCCTCTCTGAAATCAATAAAAAAAATATATTTTTTAAAAAGTGGCATCTATTCCCTCCCCTTAAAGCCAGGCTGACCTCATGACTTGCTTTGACTAACAGACTGCAAGAGGGTTATTATGTCTTTTGGGGTCTACACTTCAGAAGGCCTGAAAAGGCCCCTTTGCTCGGACAGCCTACTGAACGACTAGAGACCACAGAGAGTTCACAGAGGGAACTGACTGCCCGGCCACAGCACCAGCACCCCGGATGTGAAGAGGAGGCCATTTTGGACCTTCCAGCCCCAAATGAGCCGAATGCAGCCACATGAGGGGCCCCAGGCAACAGCAAAACAACTGCAGAGCTGACCCACAGAATATGCTGAAAACAAACCACTGCTACTTGAAGCCACTAAGTTCTGGAGTGGTTGTTGCAAAGCAGTAAAACTGGAAAACATGTTAATTTTTAAAATGAGATTAAAAAGAAAAAACTTCCATTTTTTAAAAAAATTGGGTAACTCACACTTAATTTTCTGTGTGACAGTATTTATTTGAAAATTCAATTGTGACGCAAAAATATTATCCGAGAGGAAACCTAACGTAGAAGCTATACAGTAATGCTTTCCTGAGGTCTCTCAAATTTAAATATTTACTTAGCACTATCTATACTCACTCAAGTATTGGAGAGCCAACACATATACTCATTAAAAACAAATAATTTAGTCATCAAACTATAACACACATACTTACTCTAAATATACAGGGTATATCTTTTCGACTTGCATGAATAACATCAGAAGCCAAGACTGAACTCACAGAAAATTCTTCATCCCTGAAGGAAAGTGAAATGTAAAAATCAGTGTGTGTGGGTATGTGTGTGGTCTTGGGTGTATATCTAAATAATACATATGAAACAACACTCAAAACTGAATCGCACAAAACATCCAAGTTGAATTCTTTAAAAATTTTATTTTCCCTCCATTTCAACTGATAGTGCCATAATAATCTATCAGTAGCGTTACAGTGGCACATTACACAAGAGCTAGGAATAACTCCCGGCTCACCCAAAGTGCCACGCCAGTAGGAACAAGGTACTGGGATTCGAAATGACCCTGAACCCTCTTGCCTCCCATGATACACCTCAAGTGCCCTCAACACAGCTCATCTGTCATTTCACTGTTCCGTCAGATTTGCTCCACAACAATTTATTCCTGAATTTGGTTATTGGTACCATCGTCGTCTTGGTTTTAGAGACTTGACACTTGACACCTTAGTGTTATCTTTCATCTATCTCCCTCTTTCTATATTTAGGCCCTTAGCAGACACTGCCAGATTTTCCTTGTCGAGTTTATTCCTTCCTATTCCATATTTATGGGAAAGATATGGAATATGTTAGAGACGCTGGTACGAGATGCTAGTGTGAGCCAGAGTTGGAAAGCCCAGCTCTGAGTGCTGGAGGAAGACCTGGACTGGAGATAGGAGTGTGGGAGTCAGCAACGCTGTGGTGGTGGGAGCTATGAGAGTTAGTGAGGGGGCCCCAAGAGAAGGGCTGGAGCTGTAAGAGGAAAGGAGGGCACTGAAGGGGCAGGATGAGACCTGAAAAGTGAGGCCGGAAACAGTCACGATGTGTCTATGTAAATGTTTAGCAATGTGTTACGTATTCCAAGAGCCTATATGACTTTGAGATTTTTATTTCCTTTCCTACATGGAAGTTATATTCTAAGCCTTTAGGTGATGATATGAACATTATGCAGTAGGCTTCCAATACCTCAGCAACCTTTAAACTGGTCCTTTGGATGCAAATATTAGCTTATTTTCTCTGACCCCCAACCCCCCCTAAACCTGTCCTATAACTACACCTTACTTCCTATTTTTAATTATTGTACTACTAGAGGCCTGGTGCACGAATTTGTGCATGGGTGGGGTCTTGCTGGCCCACCCTGAGCGGGCTGGCCAGGGGGAGGGGCCACAGCTGGCCGGGGGAGGGGCCACAGGCAGTTGGCCAGCCGGCCCTGCCCCCTGGTCGAACTCCTGGTTGAAGGGATAATTTGCATATTAGGCTTTTATTAAATAGCATAGCAATGTTAGTAAATTAGAAAATTAACATGAAATGAGATTTAAATAAAAACATGGTAACATAATTAGAAGAAAAATCACACATTTTTGATCCCCATGTTGCAAAGATACCACTATTTTCCCCTCTGAAAGCTTACCTCATGTCAATCACTTGGCTGACTACAACGCTGGGCTGCGATGCCTTTCCCTCGGCAACATCGTACAGGAAGAGTTTGAAGTCACAAACTACAGCCAATGCTCTCTGCCATCCTTTCTTCACACCAGCTGGCTTAGGGATCTTAGGCAAACACACAAAGAAAACAGCTCACACCAAAACGTCACCCAGAGCCCATGTAGTTACACGTGCACCCGCGAAGCCTGTCACTCCGGCTGGTAAAGGAGCAGGTGGAACACACACATCATTCATAAACTGTGAGAGGACACCCTTCAATCACCGAAGGACTTTATATTCTGAAAATTTTTAAATGGCACCATTTTAACGTTCACTAGTAATTAACTAAACATTCATGGATTTCTTTCTAAATAGCATAAAAGTCAGATTTGGTAGTGAGATGGAATGCAGCTTACACTTTAGATGTCATTAAGATTACAAGTACGATTATGCCGACACTATCTCATACTTCATAAGCATAAGCCACCTCTCCACAAGGCCAAGAGCTGAAGACCCTTTTTATGGAGATTCCAACATTTGTTCATGACAAGATAAAGACTGAGTGGAAAATTTTGAGACATTTTATAATTGATTTCCAAGCAAAGACAAGGTTTTTGTTTTCAAATCATTACTTGGGTGAAATAAAATTATTAGGTAAATTTTATTCATTTAATTTTCTGTTAAGGACTGTGTTTGTAAGGTGACTGGACTGCATTTTAATCCATTAATGAACCTTAAAAGATTAATCTAAACCCAACCGAATGACACTTACCCTGACATGGCCTTCATATGCTGTTCCTATTCCTTTCTGAGGATCTATACCCAGGGGACCTTTTGTCTGTTCAGGAGGAACTGGACACGCGGTGGGAGCTTTGTTTACGCAAGTTATATGACACGAGAATCCACATACTTTTGGAAGGACAAAAAAGAAACAAAGTTCAATAAAAATTCATTTTACAAAAAGAAAATCCACCAAGAATTCATTACAAGCAAGGTAAATGAATGCTTCTCTCTGAACTTATTTTTAAAAACTATTTTGTCATTTGGGGGGCTGATTTATTTGTGTAACAAAAATAATTTCAATGTCAGTCATTATCCATCATTTCATTCACTCAAAACTCTCAAATCTCCACTTTCCAAACTGACCATTTTCTTTGGCTCTAAACTCATGCATCTAACAAACTAATTAAGATAATGCAATTGAGATTTGCCACTTTGGTTGGGAGAACTAACCAAACATAGAATGCATTGCGTGGATGCTACTAATTTCCCCCTTATCCAAAGTATTCACTTCAGGCCCTCTACCAGGGTCCTCAACCAGGGTCCACTACCAGGGCCCTCTACAAGAGCCCTCTACCAGGGCCCTTTACCAGGGTCCTCTACCAGAGCTCTCTACCAGGGCCCTCTACCAGGGTCCTCTACCAGAGCTCTCTACCAGGGCCCTTTACCAGGGTCCTCTACCAGAGCTCTCTACCAGGGCTCTCTACCAGGGTCCTCTACCAGAGCTCTCTACCAGGGCCCTCTACCAGGGTCCTCTACCAGAGCTCTCTACCAGGGCCCTCTACCAGAGCTCTCTACCAGGGCCCTCTACCAGTGTCCTCTACCAGTGTCCTCTACCAGAGTCCTCTACCAGGGTCCACTACCAGGGCCCTCTCCCAGGGTCCTCTACCAGGGTCGTCTATACACAACTGCTGGAGAATGAAAACCTTCCTTCAAGGTCCCTCCCAACCCTAATGGCAAGAAACAGAAACTATGTCAGAATTTGAATCAGTAACAATTTCCTTATCTTTTTCATAGTGAGCGGTAAATTATATATGAGGTATTGGTATAGCTGCAAGTCTCATGTGATTGTAAAAAAGCGTATTTCTAAAATATACACAAATACTATATCCCATTATAATTTAGATCATTTTCATTTCCGAAGTCATAGGAAAAATAAAGTGATGCCCAAATAAATACACTGTTTTCTTTTCAAACGACCTCTGCTCTCTCATCTCTCAGAATGTGGGCTCCGTGAGGGCAGGCTCTGTGTTCCGCACCCCGCGCCCCCTCCGCCTCATCCACCACTGCATGCCCAGTGCCCAGAAGCACAGAGCGGCCGTCCCATAAACAGTGACGGATGAGTCAGTGAATGGTAGGGAAAACCTCTGCTAGTAATACTAGAAATAAAATACCTTCTGAGGCATAGTGGCAGACATTTAACATTTCTAAAAAGATACTGCATTATCTACTTTCCAATAACAATTTATCTGATCAATTAAACAAGGTTAAAATTAAATGAACAGATTCAAAGATAACTTTCATGTCTTTTGCCACATATATTAATGGTTTTTCAAAACCACAAAATCATCTGAATAATAAAATAAAGATGAATAAGACATTTAAATATCTCCCCTGAAAAATGTTTCTGGGGACTATCCGTCTAGTCTCTCTAATATTCAACAGACTTTCGCAAGGTGCTCATTTTATTGTCTCTATTCCTGTTATGCAAAGAAAAGCAAATGATTAAGTAAAACAAACATTTACATACCTTATGAAAAGAATAAAGTTACCTGATTACAGTTTAGGTGGTAACTGTTAGGACTCTAAGGTCACATTTCCTTACCATTTTATTCTTACCTTCACAGGAGCAGCCCTGTCGGATCAGACCCACCATCAAAGAGGTGCACTGGTGACACTTGGTGGGAGTAGTAAAAGATTTGACAAAAAACTGATGAGTCTTGCGCTGCAAAGCAAATGGATAAAAACATACACATAGTGTTTACTAGTCCAAAAATGTAACATCAAAGTGACATATTACATAACTAGAGGCCCGGTGCATGAATTGATGCACAGGTGGGGTCCAGCTGACCCGCCCCGAGAGGGGCCCATGAGGCCGGGCCGGCAGGGGAGAGGGGCTGCAGGAGGTTGGACGGCCAGTCCCACCCCTGATCGGGGTGTTGGGGGCCAATAAGGGGCTGGGCGGGGGGTGGGGGTGGGGCAATAGGGGCCCGGAGCAGGCCAGTTGGCTGCCACAGTGCGCTTCATAGCCACCGGTCGTTCCGATGGTTCCACTGTTCTGGTTGCTGGGCTTTTATATATATAGATATCTAATTTAATGACTGAATGTGCTTTTTAAATATAGGTTTAAATTTAACTGTTTTACTGCATCAAACACAGAAAATATTTTATGACAATATAAAATCTTCTGTATTATGATTTAAAACATCTATTGGATTTGTATATAAATTGTGTGTTGTTTTCTTAAATTATAAATAGATGTTTCATGGCTGACCTTTACAAACATTTCTCTTTAAGAATACACGGTGTGTATGTGGATAGTTTTTATTAGTAATAAATGAAAAAGATATTTAAAAAATGACAGGAAATAAATAGGTCAGTATCATAAGAAAAAACAAAAACAACAACAAAAACATACACATTGGTTATTTAAAGAATTTTCATATGATGAATCTCTAGGCCCCACACCAGCTACTGGAAAGTTTCTATATAGGAGTAAAATGAATTATTTCCCTTTCTCACCATATAGTTCTATAATCTATGCTCTTTAAATATTTTTATTAGGCAATATTGAACTGGATTATGCTAAAATAAGTTATGATAATCAATTGCTCTTGAATTGACACTAGCTTTTATAACTATAATTTTATAATTAAAATTTTGATTTCAGGATTTTTATCAATTCTTCAAATTATTCTTTAGCAGAGTTAAGTGAAATCTTGCATGTTTATACCTATAGAAATAAAGAAATTTAACATGCATTCAGACCTCCTTAGGAAGAACAAAGAGTAATTAAAAATTCTAGCCTTACTATACATCATGTATTTGATTTTTCTGGGACCAAGAACAAATCATATGCTTAAAAAATCTGTTTCCTCCCATGGGAGCAGGCAGTATTACACTTGCCCAGGCGAAAATACATACATATTATTCTAGAGACAGATGGCAGCCTAAAATTACTGAAAACCCAGAAGTTAAAATTCTCCCAGTCTTGTCTTGAGCCATGTGATGGTAAATCACTGTAAGAACTTAGTTCTCCAGAACCCTCCTTCCCTCTCCTAACTAAGTCTCAGCATGTTTCAGCAATGAATGCATTATAACTGCCCTTCCTTCACTCATTATGTGAACTCAGAAGCAAATTACTCAATTCCTTCACGCCTCCCTTTTCTCATTACTTCTCTTTTATAAGTGTGATTCAGGTAAACTAGTAAGAACTTTATTCTATATTCCAATAATATGTGAATACTGATGAAAAAATGGTTATGAAGTAGTATTTACTCCAGCTGAGACTAACTTCTCATAAAAAAACTAAAGAGAATATTCAAAGCTTCAAAATTTAAGTTAAAAATATACTTTACTTTTCTCAACTGTGATATGGAATTTACATACCACAGAAGAAATTCTTTAAAAAAAAAACAAGAAATCATTGCCTGGCCGTAGTGGCTCAGTTGGTTGAGCGTCATCTAAGGAACCAAAAAGTCACTGGTTCAATTCCTGGCCAGGGCACATGCCCAGGTTGTGGGCTCGATCCCCAGTAGGGGTGGGCAGGAGGCAGCCAATCAATGATTCTCTTTCATCAGTGATGTTTCTATCTCTCTTTCCCTTTCCCTTCCTATCTCTAAAATCAATAGAAACTTATTTTAAAAATAAAAACCAAGAAATCATTTTATATAGAATGAACTGACTACCAGAGCATTGGGGACTTGGAATGAGGTGAGACTCCCAAATTTAGAGCAATCAAACCATTCTACTCCAGAAGTTCCTCAGGACCCTGGTCATTCCAAAGAGGACCTGGGATGTGACTCCGTTCTGAACAGACAGGTTACTACATGCTACCTCCTGCGATGGCTGATGCGGACCACGCACCGACCCAGGTGCAGGCACCATGCCAGTGCCTCACACGCATCATCTGCTGTGATGGACACAGTGCCAGACAGACAGGCATGATTTCCTCAGACAGACGAAGAAACTCAAACTCAGAGACAATAGACAGGTTTCTGTCTGACTGCCATCTCTCAAAGTCTCATCATATAAAACAGGTAGAATATGATCCTAAAAAGACCTAGGACTACAGAAGACATGGTTAGGTCCAGACCAGGGGCATCCATGCCTGTGAATAAAATATAAGGACCTAATTTGTTAGCATCATATAAAATTTTGCTCAACGTTTCTCCTAAATACTAATTTTTACTCTTAAGTTTTTGCTCTTTAAGGAACCGTCAAGAGTAAATCTGCGAGTGCTAACATTTTTTAATCCTTTCAGTTTTCCAATTTTTAGAATTTCTTTGTAGGAGCTTGAGATAAGCAATTAAATCTGCATGTTCTACATATACAACACTTCAGTCACAGTCACATTAAATAGAATGAAAAGATGAAAATTCACCTGAATTTTTCACTAAATCTTTTTCTTTTTTGTGTGTGCTTTATTAACCTCAACCTTAGATTCTTCCAAAAGTGACCTCAACTTCATACCAGCCTTACACTACATCCTCCAAGCATTCCTCCTTGCTCTAACAGACTCCAGAACACTGAATTTAAGAAAATGGAAGCCCTAGCCAGTTTGGCTCAGTGGACAGAGTGTCAGCCTGCAGACTGAAGGGTCCCAGGTTTGATTCTGGTCAAGGGCACATGCCCGGCTGTGGGCTCGATCCCCAGCAGGGGGTGTGCAGGAGGCAGCCGATCAATGATTCTCTCTCATCATTGATGTTTCTACCGCTCTCTCCCTCTCCCTTCCCTCTGAAATCAATAAAAATACATTAAAAAAAGAAAAAGATGTAAGAACAACAACACAAACTTTGGACACTCCTTTTACCTTTCTCAATGGTGATTATTTCCATTCATATAGAATTTATTTTCTTTCAAAGCTTTCATGTTTGTAATTTTAAGGAAATCAATAGCAAATCAATCAATCAATCAATCAATCACAGGAAATATAAAAAAGCAGAAGAAACCCATTTTCTTTTTTCTTTTTTCCCCCCAGAACACAACAGGCTATAACTAGACTGTACCTTAGATGGAAAGCCAGTTGAACCAGGGCATGCCTTTTTCTTTAAGGTTGGTGTGTGAACAGGAAGTGGAGAACTGTCTACAGTCTGAATCCAGGGGCAAAAAGGAAATAAATGTTAAAAGAAACTCCATCCATTTCTAGCATTACTAGAAATAAAAGTAAATAAAGCCAAGGAAAACATCAATAAGGCAAAATAGATCTCAATGAAGCTAAAATTCTCATAATGTTGATAATTTAAATTTCTGTCTGCAATATCTACAAGTGAAATATTAGTAAAATTATTTCAGTTTGGAAATATAAAGAATTTGGAAAAGAGAATCCACCAAAGAACACAAAAAATGGCATAGCATGTAGCCTACATAAAAATGAGGATATTCATTTTCACGTTCATCTAAAAATGCCACATTAATTCTAAAAAGCATCTGAAAGAGTTTTTAGCAAAATTTATGATCAAAATACTTAGAAAATTCTTTTAACTCCTTGACTTCTATATACGGAATGCACAGTACATATATGAAATACAATTCTGTGGATTTTTAATATATTAGAAAGAGAGGGAGAGAGATTGAATGATTAGTGGAATTTCTGTGCAGAAATTACTTTCCAAAGAAGGTAGTTAGATTATTACTATTGGGATCCAGAATTTACACATAAATTTAGTTACAAGTCATATCTTTATTTTATGGGGACTTGTAAGATATTTCCTTGAATAAAAGGAAACAGTGATTTTACTGGATGTTACTGTGGAAAAAAAAAGAGATATCACTTGATTAGCAAAGTGTAAAAAAAGACGTGACTATCAGGATGCTAAGCAAGCAAATGAGAGGAAAAAGCTGGCTTTATATAAAGGTATAGAACATTCTAAAATATTAAGAGAAAAATGGATGGGCTCTCGTTGGCTTTTGTTAGTATACAACCTCCAAAATCAGAATATTTTGAATATATTAAAGCCTTAAAATGGAATTCAGTTAAGTTTCTCAGAGTTTTCTACTTCATTGTGAATTTAACTCTAACTTACATTTAAATAACTTGAAAAAGTTCTTAATCCAATTTATAATTTAACATTTAAAAAGACAAATATGAAAAAGATCACTGAAGACCTTTATAAAAGTTAATAAAAATAATTCATATGAAATAAAATTGCTATTAGAATTTACATAAAAAGTCAAAGAGAAGTTTTTAGAATTAAAAGGAGTGAAGCAAGGGTGCTGGATACAAGAACAACAGAATTCATAAAGACCAGCAATGCCTAATTAATAAAACATATTTTAGAAAAGATCCCATTCACTACAGCAACAAAGGCTTGAAGGTACCTAGCAAGAAACCTAGCAGGCAATATGAAGTATACCCATGAAATATAACTTACTGAAGAAAATAAAAGAATATCTAAGTATGTATACCATGTTCATAGATGGAAAGACCCAATATCACGAACATGGCAAGTCTCCTCAGATAAATCTGCAATTCAAATTCAATTAAAAGCCCCACCTGGCATCTGACAAACTGATCCTAAATGTCACATGTAAAACTAAAGAGTCACAAAGTAAAAGAAGAAGACTAAGAGGTGGGAGTCAGGTATCAGGAACTATTTCAGGGCTATAGTAATTAAGACAATGAACTGTTGGTGCAGAAAAAGACAAAACGAACAATGGAAGAGAATAAAGAACCCTCAAACAGACCCATGCATGTAAAGCAGAGACAGTTTTAAAAGTCAATGGGGGAAATATAGGACAGTTGGTAGTTCATATGAGAAAAATAGATTAGAACTTCATTTCCTATAATATGCAATAATAAATTTCAGTTTGATTAAAGTCTTAAACATTTTAAGAATTTTTTTTTTAGCTTTTAGAAGAAAATATGGAGGAAACTTTTTATAATTGCTGCGAAGGGAAGACATGTTTTAAAAAGACAAAAAGCAGAATTCATAAAGAAAAAGATTGATAAATATGGCTATTTTAAAATAAAAATTGTTGCAAGACAAAAAATACCACAAATAACATTTAAAAATAAGCCACAGACTAGTAGAAAATATCTGCAATGCATATAGCCAGCTAAAGATTAATATCCAGAATATATACAGAATACTTACAAAATAATAGAAAAAATAATTCAACAGAACAATGGACAAAAGACATCAACAGGCAAATCACCAATGACCAATAAACTATATAAAAAGATGCTCAACAACACTTGAAATCAGAAAATGCAAATTAAAACAAAAATGCCACTCCATATACAATGAATTGGCTAAAGTTAACCAGTTAACTGCCAATCGTCCCAAATGGAAACCATCTCCACAGCGGCTACAGACACATACGGCGTACAAGGGGTTAATGCCTCACAGCACCAAGGCTTGGCGAGGGTGTGGGAAAGGGGAACACCCCCTGCTGGTGGGAGTGGGAACAGGTCGGACCACTGGGCAAGACCCAGTTCAAGTTGAAAATGCATGTAGCACACAACCCAGCAGTTCCACTTGCAGGCTCATATGCTAAACAAACTGCACAGATCGCTATTAGGATGTGTAGTAACAAAAAACTGGAAACAACCTACATATCCAACAGCAGGAGAATAGTTGCGGTGTATTCATACGGTAAAATATTATGCAGTAATTATAATATCTGAACTAAATGGACGTGTATCTGTATGAGTAAACCTCAAAAGCATGCTGAATGAAAACAGTTACATGTAAAACCAAGGAAGAGGGGATGCAATTCAACGTCAGGGTATTTAGACACGTCTGGGAGAAGAGACGGGGGATGGAAGAGGGAAGGGCGTTTCAACCCCGTTATCTATTTTCTTTCTTTGAATACAAATTTGAAAAAAATAAGACAAAATGATCACATCTGTTAAATCTGTGGATGGTGGTGACATGAGTGTTTATTATTATTCTTTATGTGATGGAAATATTTCAACATTAAAATAAAAATGTATAAAGTTAAAATATTTTAAAAATAAATAAGCACCCAGCCTCAGACAGGCTATCACAGGGCTGGACAAAAACCTAGTCAGAACCTGAGTACAACCCACGCTTGACCTCAGCCAGCCTGCTCCTGGGTCCTCACGGCTCTGGAGACAAAGCGGGAAGCAGGGGAGCTCACCAGCACCAGGGTGCTGAGCGGAACCGGGGCTGCATCTGGAGCAGGGTGGGGTTAATGGAGGCACACACACCCCTGACTTGTTGAGAAAACTGGCCAATCGGCTGTTTAACACCAGCGTTTGACATGAAGTGCAAATACAAGGGTTTCTGCACTAGGAAAAGGCAGGGTCATTTGCATGCCCGTTACTAACCCAGCAGCTGGAATAAACGGTGCAGCTGCCAGCAGTGGCAATTCTCATGCTGGGCTCTGCTCACGAAGTCCCGCCGTGTTAGACGGATAAAGAGGCAGAATGGCACCTGACCCTGCCACGAGCCTGCAGTTTGTAGATGACAATTCCAAACGTACATAACTCTGTTGTACACTGTTCTTCACTAAAATAAAGGCTAACCGTGATTAAACAAATTTCCTGGCTATTTCAAGCTGACTTCTGGGGGACAATTTTCTACTTCAGCTTTACACTCCTATCTGAATGTCCAGTCAAATGTCATGATCTCCAACGTGACTTATACACAGGTGTCTGACTGAAAGAAGAGAGCCCGATTTCACTTGCTTTTGCAACTCCCTCTTTTCTGACACAAGTGACAAGCTGGGAGCACACTGCTCCAGTGAGGCACCTGAACTGGCTCAGCTTCACTAGCGGTGGAAGGAGATGTGGACCTTGACTGGGTGTCAGTCTTGACGTTCGGATTCCGTACATGTGTGCTCTCAACGGGATCAGCCTAGGAAAGTAAGTGGGGAAACACAAAAACCCAAGAATCACGTTCAACAATGTGCAGCTCGTAGCGTTCCTGAAGACGCGGTCATAACCTTCTTGAGAAGGAGGATAACAAACTTCAGTGTGAATATTCGCAATAGGGATGTGTCATTATACAAAAGCGTAACCACGAGCTTTAATGAAAACCAAGGTTAAGATAACAATATTAACAAAATGCTCTAATTCCCACTGTCGATCTCTTACTTTGAGCACTGATCTCTACTGTATGTTCTTTACTTGTATTCCACATGACACTGTTGTATGTTACAAAATAAATCATGCATGTGAAATAAATGCAGGGTCTTTAGTAGGGATACGCACTGCAGACGAGAGAACTGTGTCCTCGGTAAGAGTGGACTCTGGTCCCTGCCAGGCATTAGTTGAAAGCAGAAGAAACTGACCTATTAGCTTTGTGCTTATTGCCTTTTATTTGCAGCAGTAGAAACACCAGCACTTATATTCAGCTGCACACTTTTAACTAAGTAGTTTTAGAAACTGAAAATGCTTTGGGCTAAAATTTAGCATGAGAGATCTTACTAAGCACAATGATTAATGATATATTCAGTTTGGCAATTTTCAAAATTACTAGGGCTGGGTTTTTTAAATGAAAGGAATGGAGGTAATTTGGAAAGAAGGTTAGGAAATTTTTCTTAAATCACTTGTACAGCAAGAACAATCAGAAGCTACAATGAAGAGCATCAGCATAGGCATTTTAAACATGTACTTACAATGTCTTCTTTTTCTTTCTTATTATCATGGTTACTACTTTAGGGGCTGACTAGTAGCTGGCAAACACGGCGGCAGCCCTCTGCTGGTGCCCACCTAGGGCCTCCCATGGTGTGGGCATGGGCAGGCCACAGGCAAGACTTTGGTGGGCTGGTGAACATGGCCACCACCCAGGCCTTACACCATCATTAGAGCTGGGAGAAGGGGGAGGAAGAAGGGTCCCGGGAGGACAGCTGGGGGCACGGAGCCGCAGCTACTCACAACAACAGCTAGGGACCTCTTTCAAGACGGGAGGTGCTGAGCTGCAGCCCACCAGCTGGTGTGTGCAGCGTGGCTAACTCCACACCACGCACTGCCTCCCGCAGTGGGAGCGCCAGCCTGAATCCCTTCGATTCCAAATGCCTCGCCACGGGCAGGCAGGTTGAGCGATCTTATCTCCTTCCTGACAATGAACTCGACCAGGAATGAGAATAAAAGAACGAACAAAATGGGGCTCATTTACTCAGG